TTGTAATTTTGGTTTTAACCATTTATGCATTTCCATACTTATCGTAAATGTCTTCAAATCCCTTCTATTATTTAGAGGTGAAATTGGAATAGCCCACACCAAGCTTGTCAAACTCAATAGCTAACCTGGGCCAAATAAGTGAGGCATGTGGCCCGAAGGCCAGAAGTTTGACATGCTTGGCCTAGAAGCTAAGGCCTTCTGGGGTCTCTCTTTGCCATCGTCCAGTTGAATTTCTCACTCCCACCCCAACGTTTTCTGTCTTCAGCCGAACAGAAATTTCTACCCTATAGCCTGTCTCATAGTTCTACAAAGCTCTTATCATGGAGGGGCTGGTTCAATCACTGCCCTTCTCGGCCATGTTCTGGCACCCAGCTGGCCATGGCACATACTTCACTCGGGTAGGGAAAGGCAGTCCCAGTCCTTCCAAACAATTTGAGATATGGTACTCTAAAGCACAGGTGCATTCTATCTTACATGAGAGATGAGCCCTCTTCTGAACACTAAAATTGAAATTGTAATAAGACAATAAATGAGGAAATTAAAAGGGACATTGCTGGTTTAAGAAAACTCTCCTGAGTCCGTTTACAGAGCAACCATTCTCTACGCTGCATGCTCAATTAAGGATCTATTTAGACGATCACTTCAACCTTTCTGGAAAGAGTAGCCTGCAGTCAGTTAATGGTTAACCTGGCCTCCCACCCTACCCCATGCTAACCCAGCGACATTTCTCATCCTGTGGATGACAGTAATTAATGTGTTTTTCTTCTGAAACTCTATTTTAGCTTTTCCTCTTCTACCTCCCCCTTTTTGGGATAGTGTTTTCCCTACTCTGTTGAGATAACTTAAAATATGGTTTCTTTTTTCAGAGATATTAGTAATATTTCCTCTGGCCCAGCCCAATCTGCAGCTTTAATCTCTGCTGACGGGCTGCTGGTGACTGGCCTCCCCCAGCGACCCAGGGAAGGAAAGCTGAGCCCGCCAGCCAGTAGCTCCGGAGTAAAGGATGTTATCTCTATTTCACAGGCCAAAATAGGCGGTCGAGTAGTTAAAAGTCAGAGATTCCAGGAAAGGAGGCAAGAATGCTGCCTTTTTAAAAAATCGTGGTTGTTTTTTTAATCTTTCTTATCACGTTAGTGATATTTGATCTTCGCTTTTACAGCCCAAATTTCTTCACACATCCGATCAAATTTTCTTCCCTGAGATATTCCCACAACTTCTGGGTAGCTCTCTTGCCTCATCTGATGAAAGTGTAACCTAAGTTTCCAGGGTGGGTTGGCCTAGCCCATTTCTCGAATCCATTGAAGGGAGGTGCGCAGCGACAAAATCTGTGAAAGTGTCTCCCAGTGGCACCAGCATAGCTCAGAGGAATGGCAGCCTGCAGCTCCCTGTGCACTGTTTGGTTACCATTACCCAGATCTTAGGATAGTTAAGAAATGGAGACTATGGCACATTAAAAGTTCATTTGAAAAGGGAATTGCAGATTTCTTAAACAAATAAACAAAAAACAACCAGCTATCAGACATCTAATTATCATTCTCCCTTTCAAAAAACAATTTTTTTTTAAAGATAACCTGACTGCAATATCAAAGAAAGCAAAAATGGGGGAAACCTGCCATCATTCTGCTGAGGCACTGTCAGGCCACCAATTGCCACAAGGTTGGAGGATCTGTGCCAGATCCAATGCAATGTCTAAGAGCCAATGGTGACCTCTGAGCTAGGCTTCCGGGAATCCTCTTGGGGTCTTGAGGAAGTGGAAATGGAAAGCTGTGAATGAAATCAAACTGGCCACTAGTGTTCACTTCTCAAACCTGGATGTAGGGCACTGAGATTTATGTTACAGTTCTTTGTATTTTTAGGTATGTTGAAATTTTTCACAATATACAGCTAGGAAATAGTAGAGGTGAGAAAAATAATAGGGAGTCAACAAAAGCAAACTCACATATCATAAGTACATTCTTTTCTTACAAAGGCATACAAAGTAAAAAAAATTACCACGTACAAAAAAAACAAAACAAACACACACACACACACACACACACAAAATAACACACCACACATCAAATCAGTCATTAGAGTTAAAAATAAAGAATCAATCCCAGATAATGTCTGGAACATAAAGGAAATAACAAGTGCAAAATGTAATTCATAAGTAATTATGAAGTTATGAAAATCACAACTGTACATATAAAAACTGGTGGAATTTGCTGAGGTTGGAATGTTGGCCCTTGGACTGAAGGGTCTAGGGTTCCATTCTGGTCAATTACACATACCTGGATTATAAACTCAATCCTTGGTCCTGGTTGGAGTACATGTGGAAGGCAAGCAATCGATGTGTTTCTCTCACATTGATATTTCTCTCTCTCTGTCTCTCCCTCTTTTTCACTCTCTCTAAAAATCTGGAAAAATATCTTTGTGTGAGGATTCAAAACAAAACAAAACAAAACAAAACAAAACAAAAACTTGTGGAATTTGACTAAGTCTGTACTTAAAGGGAAATTAGAATCCTCAAAACGCTGTTATTAATTGAGAAGGAAGATTGAAAATAAGTGACCAATACTGTCAATTATACAAACTAGAAGACTAACAAAGCATAACTAGAAAAAGTACAGAGCTAAAAGGGAAATCAGCGAATTAAAGAAGATAGCCTAATAGAGAAAGCAGAAAGATAGGCAGAAAAGCAACTCCTCAACTGGATGATTTGTAGAGAAAAACATTTACAGCTAAAATTTACACAATATGAGGTAGAATATTTATTACAAAAACAAACAAACAAACAAACCAGCAACCAGGGAAGAAACTGAAAAGAGATTTGAAGACCCGAGTTCCTTTGCTACCCTTATTCTAAAAGTACCAGGATTAGATGGCTGTGTATGTGACAAGCATCACATTTTGAAAGAATAGAAAATTATTTTGGTACTTAAAGTTTTCTAGGATATATAATAAGATAAAACTTTTCTGGACTCATTTTGTTTGTAGAATAATTCATATTTTAACAGTTGATTTAGCTATTAATCAAAGGAAAAACTGCAGAAGCATCTCATTAATGAATATAGATAAAAATCCAAAACAAAGTAAAGATGATTCAAATGCAGGACTATATTAAAAGAGTAATATATTATGATCAAAAACACTATATTCCAGGAATAAAAGTGAATTTGATATGAGAATATTTATAAGTTTGATTTTTCTTATTGATGAATGAAAGTTCAAAACACATTCAGTCATTGTAACTCCCCAAAATACAGTTATTTTAATAATGATTTGAGGAACATCTATTTCTTGTAAAACTTGAAACTGGAAAAACACTGACTTAACATATACATATTTAATATGTTTTGTTTTTTTTCTAGTAACTAGTGGATTTAATGACAGTACACTTAAGTTGGAAGTGTAAATAGAGTTTCGCTGTCCAACTCATAAGTTTTGACTGGCCCTGAGACCCCGCCATTCTTGGGAGGAAAGCATGCTGGAACTGGGTGGCAGTATCCACTCTACGGGGAGTCCCCTGGCTCTGGCTAGGTGGCTCAGTTGGTTGGAGTGTCATCCAGTTCACCTAAGAAGTGGTGGATTTGACCCCCTGTCAGGGCACATACACCCCCCCTCTATCTATCTATCTATCTATCTATCTATCTATCTATATTCCAGTGGGATTATGTGTGTGTGTATGTTTGTGTGTATGTCTGACAAAGTGATTCTAACATTCATTAGGAAGACTAGACAGATAAGACTTGCCAAGAACATTTTGAATAGAGTCAGAATTTACTTTGGTGTATATAAAAATGTACTCTAATATGATAATAATCCTATAATTAGACCAATGAAGAGAGGAAGCAAGATATTTTGAATATTGTAATAATGGCATTTCATATTATTTAGATAAAAGGTGGACTATTTAATGTCTTGTTTATTGTAGGAAAATTCCAGAATTATAAAGAGGAGTACTTTGTATAATATGCTATGGTATGATATTAAATACTAGGGGCTCAGCGCACAAATTTGTGCACCTTAAAAGGAACTGTGGGCCAAGAGGCTGCAGTAGGCACAGGGGCGAGTCTCAGCCCGTCTTTTGCACCCCCACCTGGCCCCTTTCACCACAACCCAGTCCTCTATCTGCTGGCAGCCCTGCTCCTGCCGCCACTCCCAGGTGCTGATGGTGCTGGCTCCACTTGCACCCGCTGACGGTGTGAAGCAATTGGGGCCAGAGCCAGCATCGGATGTGAGCAGCCCTGATCACCCCTCTGAAGCAGGGAGAGGTGGAGAAGCCAGCAAGCCACTGCTCATACCCGCTAATGGCACTGAGTGATCTGGACCAGATCACCAACAGCCGGTGTGACCTGCAGGCAGGACCACAGCACATGGGAGCAAAGAATTTTCAGTAAAAACCAGAGGTTCACTCTCATACCAGCAACCAGCGCCCACCTTGGTCTGGCTTCCCCACTCACCTGCTCCACCATCCCACCATGGCCAATACCTGCCATGTTCTGCACATACCCCCTGGTGGCCAGTGCATGTCATAGAGAACGGTTGTTCTGCCATTTGGTTTATTTGCATATTAGCCTTCTAAGACAATTGCTTTGTTTTTAAGAAAGTACAGAAAGTGGGCAGTTTAATACCATCTCATAGCAGTGTGATTGTGTTTATTACAATATTCTAATTCACATAAAGAATTTGATCAAATTTATTTTCTATGGCATTGTGGGTTGGTAATAATAAAAAATAATTAGATAGCATGTATTTTGTGCCAGGCATTTTTCTAAGCTATTGAGGTACATTAACTCATTTAATTATCACAATAATCATCTGAGATTATTATTATTATTATCTCCCATTAAATACACAGGCACCGGAGGTACCACAGTCACACATCTAGCAGGTGGGAGAGCTGGGATGGGGCCGGCTCTGAGTATATATTCAAAGCCTCCTCTCCTTGGAATGAGCTCTCTGTGTCAACCAGAGGGGGTCGCTGGGTTCCAGGCTCACGTGCCTTTTTCTTCCCTCAGGGACCTGATGCCCAGGACCCTAGACGGGCAGATCACCATGGAGAAGACACCCAGCTACTTCGTCACGCGGGAGGCGCCCGTGCGCATCTCGGCCATGTCCAAGGACACCAAGCTCATAGTGGTGGTGCGCGACCCGGTGACCAGGGCCATCTCAGACTACACGCAGACGCTGTCCAAGCGGCCTGACATCCCCACCTTCGAGAGCCTGACGTTCAGGAACCGGAGCGCGGGCCTCATCGACACGTCGTGGAGCGCCATCCAGATCGGCATCTACGCCAAGCACCTGGAGCTCTGGCTGCGCCACTTCCCGCGCCGCCAGATGCTCTTCGTGAGCGGCGAGCGGCTCATCAGCGACCCGGCCGGCGAGCTGGGCCGCGTGCAGGACTTCCTGGGCCTCAAGCGCATCATCACCGACAAGCACTTCTACTTCAACAAGACCAAGGGCTTCCCCTGCCTCAAGAAGGCCGAGGGCAGCAGCAAGCCCCACTGCCTGGGCAAGACCAAGGGCAGGACGCACCCCGACATCGACCCTGACGTGGTGCGCAGGCTGCGCGACTTCTACCGGCCCTTCAACCGCAAGTTCTACCAGATGACCGGGCACGACTTCGGCTGGGACGGATAATGATATAATTTAAAAAGAGAAAAAAAAAATCAAATATAATATATTTTTTTACCAATCGGTAGAGAAAAGGCCCTTTAATATTTGTGCTGAAAGCATTTCTTTCACTAGTTTTTTCGATGAATGTTAAGAGATTGTTCTCACCTCTGACCCCTTCTCCATGTGTTTAACTTACACCAAACACTTGGAAAAACACAAAAAGCAAAAACTTTGCTCATCTAAATACTTGCCATCTTTAATTTTTATTGTATGTTTTGTATGCATAATCATAAAGTAAGAGCATCAGTTGCCATTAAACCTTTTAAGAAAAATCTGAGGGGAAATCAGTCTCTCTCTCTGGCTAACAAGGCCCAGACAAAATCCATATCCAGCCTTGTGTATTTCTCCCTTTAAGTTTTTTCATCTCCTGTGCCACTTTCTCTAAAACGATCTCCCAATTAATAACACTGTGTGGTTTTACACCACTTCAGTTATCACGGTGTTTTTAAAATAAAACATTTTTTTGATCCTTTTATTACTGTATGGTCCAAGAATATGGTTCACAGAGATCATGATCCCCACTTTACAGAAAAGGAAACGTGAGTCTCAGGGAGGTTATCTTAGGGCCAGATGCTGACTCCTGGACAACCCTTCTTTCCCTCATTCTTTATTACATGCCACTTTTCCCAGGAGAATTGGAAATAAGCATCTGTACCATTAAAATTGGTTAGCCAGGTTGGACATGGGCTCGATGGGATAGAGCGGGATTCCTCTGGCTTTCTCAGCGCCAGGCCAGCTCTCAGCCTCGGTCAAACCACAGTCCCCTCCGGGAGACCATCAGGCCTGGGCACAGATTCTATGAGGAGCCAATCTCGGTTCTAATGAATCTGAGAGAAATTACTGGATTCTTGTAATCAAGAACAAGGGACACAGTCCCACTGGCAGCAGACAAGGTGTGGGAGGAGCACAACTTACCTGTTTGTTCTTTTGGCCTGACTGTCCTATTTTTTTAATTAAGAAAAAGCCATTTCTCTAAGAGCTTACACGTCTGAGTCTCATTTTGATTTGTCCCTTTTCCTTACAGAAAGCCTGCTTCTGTTTGTAATATCTCATTTCTAACCTTGGAGCTAGCACTAAACATGTATCAATAAACATGTTACCATGCCCTTATTTTCCATGCGTGGAGGACTGTCAACTTTGACCCTTTATTTTTCCCCACTTCCTATTCATACTTAGTCTAACCTAATATCCATTAGCATTTGGAAAATAGTCTCAGAAGTGCAGATGGGTAAAAATGGTGTTTTTTCCTCCTTTCCCATCTGTTTCTCCCCATCCACCATTTAAATATCGCAAATAAATCAATTGTTTATTAAAAGGACTCCTTTCCTCTCTGAGTGGGCATTAACAAGATTAGCATTAATGGGAATTAAATTGGTTTAGAGAGGAGCGCATGTGCACAAAATATATAAAACATGTGCAATTAGCCTGTCGGCAACATTTTATTACAGGTTTAAACCCAAGAGGAGCATGTTTCCTATCTCATGGAACTTTGCTATATCTGCCAGAATTTTAAAGGACCAAACACTCTAGTATTCTAAAAGCGCATACCTTTTCTTCTCCTGTGTTGTCAATCAAAAGAACTGAAGTTGTTTTGAATATGCAGTACAATTTCCCATTTGCCGCAGAGGTTGCATCAGGAAGGAAGGATTTCTTGAGAAGCCTAACACACGATTGAAAGGAGTGGGGGAAATCACTTGTTTCTAAGTATTTCATGATCGCTCCCCGTCTTTGGCTCTATTTTTTAATTCCCACCTTTAGGAGTTCAGTGAGTCCCAAATCCAGGTCCCTTTCTCCAGGTGACTTCCTTCCCCTCAGCACGCTCAGCTTTCCAGGGCCACGGCCTGACGCTGTTCCACTAGAATTGCTACTACCAGCAACAAGATGCTCATTTTGAACTCTATCTGTTTTTCTTAACTCGTTTTGTGTGTGCTTCTGATCCTTTTATAAGCATTTGTTTGACATAATGCAAAAGGAGCTTGCACAGGGAAACAATTGTATTCAGCAATCTTCATCTTTTTTTGTGTTAAGAAACAATAATAAAAAAATCAGAATTGAGTGCAAATAATCTCTTCTTGCATGTAGATTTCTTTTTTGTTCATATTATTATTATTTTTTAAATAGAATGACTAAGTAGCACTCTAGGAAAACCTGATTTCTAAGATTTCAATGATGCTGTTAAGAAGATATAGATTCCAGAAAAGAAAAAAAAATGTGTAAAGATCTAGAATCAGTGTACTCTGTTTCCTCCAGAAAAGGACTTTCCCATATCTGCTTCTCTGTGGTACTTACACTTGCTGTGCATGAATGTGGGCTCAGATTTCTCTGTCCATGTAGCCGCACCAAACAGTAGATTTTGCTGCTTCCACCTGGCTGGCTGCTCCACTTTTAACTCTTCCTAAAACTGAAGAATTGTCTCCAGAACAGCCAGAGGTCTACAGCTTCTTGCTCAGTAATTTCCTTGTGAAGTGAGTTCTAAGGTATATAAAATTTCCAGATAACTTAGGAACTTTTAAGGAAAATTAATTTTATTCTAATAACCTGGGATTAATGAGCTTCTAGAGAATGGATGTTAAGTAATCTAGGAGTATTAATCCCACTCCAATTTCCCAATTTCCAAAAATCCTTAAATTTCTAAAGTTAGAATAAACCTCAAGGGTCCTTTGGATCACATCTCCATTTGGCATTTGCACTCTCCTGAACTGGGCATGAAAACATTGATGTGTGTGAACTCTTAACTCTTGGCTTTGCAGTTGTTAAGAGAAGAAATTTCCTCTCTGCACATTGAAACCTGCCAAATAAGGTACCCATGAAAGTACCTAAATTCAATGTGTGAGCAAATAAATATGTCTGTAAGTAATAACACCTTATAGTCACATAGCAGCATTTCACCTTAAGCCACCAGCAGCTCTCCACTCTCATTGGCTCCACTCTACCATTAAGGAAATGAATCCTCAAGACAGTGATTCTCAGCAAAAGCTGCTTTGCATCCCAAGGCCATGTCTGGATGAGATATTGGGATTGTCTCAGAGGTGGGGCATAAAGGGTGCTTCTGGTGAGTGAGTGCCAGGGATGCTGTTAAACATTACACAATGTAGAGACGAGTCCCCATCACAGAGCCACCCCCTTCCCTGCAACAGCCAGTGGTGTTGAGGCTCCGGTGGAAGAAGTAAACCTGTCTCAGGTGGTGAGTGTCTGAACCATGTCTACAAACCATGTCCTAGTGAGTGCTTGACTGGTAAGTCTCCCACTCACCTCTCCGGGTTTTTCTCCTGAAAATCCTTCTCTTTTGTAACTGCACATGACTGCACCATAATAAACAGACAGGCGTTCACTGGTGCACTTTGCCAGGAGGAGAACCAGAGAGAAACAGCAAGGAACTGGGCATTTATGGAGATTCAGGAACACATTGTAATGAGTAAGTTACATTTCTGTTAAGTGAAATCAGTTGGAAAACGACCTTCCAAGAAGACATTCCCAAAGGCCTTTTCAAGTTCAAGTGGCTCAGTTTTTGATTTGCCTCCATGACATGCTGTGACAGTATTTCTTGTCGCCAGACACAACCAAGTGACAAGAGCGAGGCTCCTCTTCTGCCAAGCAGTTGTTTTCAGATGAATGTGCCATGGTTTACAAATGCCCTGAGCTGCTGAGTAACAGCAAAGGAAGGAGAGTTCTTATTGGGTCACATTTTCTAGAAACCTGGGAACTTATCAATAGTATCTAGTTCCCATAGAATCCGGAGAAAGAAGAGTTTATGGTTCCCAAACATAGACTTGTGAGGCTGAAATTCATAAAGGACCTGACCTATCCTCCTCTTGCATCTCAAGGTCACTGAGGAAGAATCTGACTTCAATAACCCAAACACCAAGCCCTGGGATGGAAGCATCGGCATGACAGTAGACATGACAGATTATGGTCCTTAAAATACCTTCATCAGCAGGAAAACGGCTCTGCGTTCAGAATCTCAAGTACATTTATATGGATGGAAAACACGGATGGTGAAAGTTTCACCTTTTTTGTCATGGAGTTTGAGAATGGGAGGCCTTACCTCTTAAAAAGAGGTGAATTTTGAGAAATTACAAAGCAGCATACCTTCCTACAAAGAGTAGTAAAATAATGAATTTTTAATTATGCCAGAAGGAAATAAAACTGGAAATAGAAATTGCTTCTAATATATGGATCCATTATGGTGTATTTAGGATATTTAGTTAGTATGTTTCAGGCTATCACCCTAATTTTCTAGTTTAATTTCTAACAGTTGGTTGTGTTGTTTATATGATCCACAACCTACTTTCCTCTAGTTTTACCATCAAATAAAAGGTAACAATATATTGGGAGCCTACTTTTCATCCCTAAATTCTTGGACTTGCTACCTTAAGTGCATTCAAAGGATCAGGTATGAGAAGTGGGCTCTGCTGGCTGGGACATGATAGGCTAGATTTCTAGCTGGGTGTAAGCTGGTAATTCCTAAGAGAGCTTTCAAGTTTCTGTCTGGTCCCCACAGTGACAAACAAAGTCTATGTGTTCTAGTCTCTCCCAAAGTCACTCATAGTAAACCTGGGGTCTCGCTTTCATGGCAAAGGGGAGGGATGTGTCTATCTCCCTCCCACCTCCCACCTCCTGCTTCTTCCACCTTGTAATGCCTTCTCTCCCTGCTGAGTCCAAGGATGCCCGGTACCCCAGCCTCTTCTAACCTAAGTTCTGCCCTCTCTTCAAATGCACCAAACCCAATGTGTCCACGTCCTACCTCAGGTTCCTGGGGAAAACCTTGCAGTCCACCTTGGGCCACTGCTCTCAGCTTCAGGGAAAGCCATCTAAGTATTTGATGCTTATCCCCAAACCCATGAAGGTCAGATGGGTTTATCTTTCTCCAAGAGTATTACACTAGGAAAAAGGGGCCCAAAGGGAGAGGGATGGAGCAGAATAGGAAAGCATGGGGCCCGCTTTTGACAGGAGATGGAGGTGCAGCTTCCAAGCCCTACACCTCACCACTGACCTGAGGACCCAGAGTCAGCCATGTGGCATTTCACTTCTGACAGGTTGTGTGCCTCAGGTCTCGGCAGCGGCATTTCCCCACCTGTTTTCCCATAAACCCTTATCTCAGCTCAGGTTTCCCTATTGCAGGCCTGTGACAGCTGGTCAAGCAGAGGACAGGAGGAAGCAAGACAATTGTACAGTCATTTTACTGTAGGTTTCCAGAGGGAACATGAGAAGCTTCGTTCTTATTTCAGATGACTTGATCTTATACTTGATCAGATGCTCTTTGTCATGAAAAGTCCAATTACGTATCCTATAATAATAGTAATCTTACCTTTAGATGGAATGACTCAAAGCACTTTACACCCCCTTAGGTTTGAATAGTTTTTTCCTTTTTCCTTTCTTTCTAGACACAAAGTGTGTCCGTCTGCTATAGCTCCTTCCCTCCCCGCACCACCACATTGCTCTCACCTGAGTCACTGACAAACGTCTTTCACCTCACCCCTCCGCGTCATTCTGACTCCCATGCCATTTCTCTTCTGAGGGAAATTTCCCCCCCTTCAGTATTTTCCTGTATCCAAATCTTTATGCCAAAATGTCATCTTGCAGCTTTAATTTTTTTTTTTATTCTTTTCTTTTCAATGTGACTTTTGTTACTTTTCCCCTTTTTGTAACCATCTGGCCCCAGAATGACACCTTATTTTTTATTTCAAAACTCAGCCTTTTGTCTACCTTCCTTTCCCTCCCTTCCCTTTTCTTAGGTTGTGCCCTTACCTCATAGGAACCATTCTCTCTGGAGAAAGATCCTGCCCCTGGCCTTCAGCATGTGCCTCTGACCGCCGCCCCCCCCCCCCCCCCCCCACGGAGATGCAGATCTTCCCAGTGGCATTGGCTCCCACAGTGAGGTGACTCCGCATGCATTGAACTTGTCTGCTTTGCTTCCATTCCATCGAGCAGTAAACAATGAGCTCTTTTTCAGACTCTTTGGCCCTTGCTATTTGATGAGGTCATTAATAAAAAGTTCTGTATCAACAAAATAAGCTCCAAGACCCAGAGCCGTATAGAATGGATACACAGAACAACTGAAAGCAGATCTGCTGTTCCCAGCCCCACCCACCCTGTCCTCTAACTCAGGCAGCAAGTCCCCCACGTGGTAACAGCGCCCGGATTCCCTTTCCCTCATCAATCCTTCCGTGCTGGTTCCTGCGGTTCTCACCAGTGTGCTCTCTGCTTCCTCATGCCCATTCATTCCAATGATGCTTTTACTATTTAATTGACTCACAGTGCCCATTTCTCCAGCCTGAGCGTCATCATTTTTATGATTGCCTTCCTTACTTCTGTTATCGCCACGATGCTATTTCCTGGTGTCTGCGTCTGTCTTTCCCTGACACCTACCATCTTCATAAAGCAGCCCTTCTTAATTTCCTACATCATTTAAAACTCTTCTCTACTCACTGTTGAGGTTCAGTGATACAGCTCTATTGATACATAATATGATTACACAGTCATTAGATTTACCTACCACCATGTAAATGGTGTCTTTGTGTGGTGTGTGTGTGTGGTGTGTGTGTGTGTGTGTGTGTCCTAAAAAAAAACCCATAGTTTATCCATTCATTTCCTTGATTCTATCTTCCATTTTTTAAATGATATTTGTTTCACTCATCAGCTCTTTCTGTGCTTTAATGACAAAAAGTAATCTTTTGTGGGTAATTTTGTGAATAGCCCCGATTTGACTGGGAATCATGAGGTCTTGCATGAATCATTCGGTATCAACAAACCTCAGTTTTCTCATTCATTGAAAAAAATGCAGAGGACAACTATGCTGGGAGCCTCACACCAGCGGGAATGCCTGCAAACATCGCATGCTTGGGGCTGTCACAATCATTCTTTTTTTTTTTTTTTTTCCCCTGTCTCTTAAAATGATTATCATTAAATCAATGACTTTCCATATTTCCCAGGAAGCACTGAAAACTCTTAACAGAAATGTGCTTTTATTAATAAGAATCAGTGCTGGCATCCCCCGACCGCTCTCCCCCTGCACACAGCCGCGCCTGCGCTGACCTGGGCTCCTGCCTGCTCCCGCAGCCC